TTAAATTTTCATCTTTATGCATCAAAAGTAATTTTAAAGAAACTAAAACTTAAAAGTATTGTGGGCAAAATGTTAGATTCTTTTGTTAACAAACACAAGAATTTTAGTATAGGAAAGAAAACATATAAACTTCTTATTTTTCTTAAAAGTTTTTAAAGGGCAGCAAAAGGATTTCAGAAATAGGGACTTTCATCATGAAAAGCAGTAGCTGAGCATTTAAACACATGCATGTATTCATACTCTCACATGCATACCCCCCCACCCCAGTGACAGAGTCTCACTTTCTCTGACAAGTGATAAAATCACTGAAGGTACTGGGATCAGTCCTAAGTAGTGAATGTTATTTTAGGAAAGCAAAAGAAAATGAATCTTGCTACTTGCCCAGTTCTTCAGTGGCATACTACTTACTGTTGAGTGTAAAGAAAAAGATTGCATTTAAAAACTGGTAGTTATGGGTCCTGATTCGGCAAACCATGTTAGTTAGTGATTAACGTTCAGGACAACTATAAGCCCAAGAATGCTTTGCTGACTAGGAGATTACACACAGAAATGGGGTCTTGGTCATACCAGTTGCTGACCAGTTATCATTGTGGTAAATGTGTACATTCTGTCTAATTGTGCGAATATGTGTATTCCTTCTTCCTAAAAAAACCCACAGGCAGAAATGCTTTGATAGTGTAACAGGAAAATTAGGTATGTGATTAAACTCAAATCTCAGACTGAAATAACTCAGAGTTTATGACTTAAGGACATTGGACTGTTCTGCAAAAAATCAGTTGATGCAGTTGTGCTAATTAAAGGGAGAAAGTGTTCAGAAGTTGTAGGACTTTGTAGCATAGGCTCTGCTTTTTGGCTTTTAAAATAATTCCTTGGAAAATATTTTTGAACAAGCAGATCCAAAGCTATTATTGGCTTAAATGTTATCCCAGTTTATTTTACCTCTGATCTTGTTGAGGAGTGAGTACCACACTCTGTGCTAGTATGCCCTAGCATAATCCAAGATTACACATAGATTATGTACAGCAAATGTCAAGAAAATGAAAAACAATAGAAACAACTCTGGACTTGTAAATTCTAGAATTCTGTATAATCTAGAATCGTAAGTACAATATAAAAAAAAAATTGTCATAGTATAGTAGCTATTCAGGAAATTTGCTGCATCATTAGTTCATGCTAATTTGCAGAACCATGATCAAGTAGGCAAACAATCAGAACTATCAGATTAACAATTCAGAATTTTTAACAAGTTGTGCTAACTAGATCTCTTCTCCTTTTCTCTGCATCCTTTCTCTCTCTCTTTCGCTTGCAATTACATACTCACTTCCTTGCCTCCTTTCCTATATCCTAAAATATTCTCATTTCTTCTCTAACACCTTGGTTAAAGAACAACGTAGTGCTTTGCTTTTATCCTGACACTCCGGGGAACTCCTTCTCTTGTCTTTATCTCACCTAGGGGTAAGGGCTTAGGTTTGTTTGCAGTTTTACAGACTTGTGCCTGCCCCCTTCTTTCTTCTCTTCCACCCTCCCTGCCTCCCTCCCTCCCCATCAATACTTTAAAAATCATTCCCATTCATGTTGTGTGCGCGCACACGCTGGGAGAAATTACAGAATCTCTGCTCCAGGTTGCCTTGACAACTTCAAGGCATCCCTGTGCATGGGGACCGGTGGCACAGCAAAGTTTCCCAGGCCCCTTGGGGAAGGGGAGGGGAGAGGAAGAGGAGAGGAGGCAGAGATGCTGGAGCCAGCAGCCGTGTGGAAGAGAGGAGGCAGAGGTGCTGGAGCCAGCGGCCGTGCGGAGGAGAGAGCAGCAAGCAGTATGAACGGGGGACATACATCTCCCGTGGGACAAGGGGAGTTTTGCTGGCTGGCTGTGAAAGGACACACCGAGGATACAATGGTCTGTGACACATGAAAGCTTTGGAGCAAGGTTTATGGCTTCTCCATTAAGGACCCTTCCAGTGTCCCATTCAGCTCTAAGAAATCTTGTCAATGTCTAAAAATGTAAGGAAAAAAAACCCCTTCATTTTCTCATGTTTTAAAAACAGATATTTAAATATTTTTTTAGATAATTCTTCTTGTTGATATGCTGGAAGCTTTTGAGGTTTCGGCCCTGGGCAGTACCGGGTGTCAGTCTTGTGAGTTTCCTGAGTTCCCATTAACTTTGGTGGGAGGGAAGCCTGCCTGGCAGCTCCCCACTAAGGGCTCTCTGAGGTGAGAACTTGCTTCCTTCTCATCTAGCTTTTGTTCAAACTTAGGCCTGTCATCCCTCTGCTTTGAGTGCCACGAGCAGTTAAGGGCTCAAGAAGAGAGGAATTGCTGTTCCCTACTTTCAAGCTGAGAAGTCATTTATATGACAAGCAAGAGCAGGAACAGCCCCGAGCAACCTAAAATAAGGGGCCATGTAGTCACAGCCAGAGTGCATAATAGGAAACCAAGCTGGAAAGCAGCTTATAAAGAAAAGAGCGTGACTCTTGCTCCCTGACTTAGCACTTGCACATGGCTCACCACTCAATCTCATAATCAGTCCAAGAAAAAAATAGGATCACAAGCTCTAATCCTGCAACACAGCAATCTTTAGTGGTAAGATACACCCTACACTGACTCCTCGGGATTTTTGGAGTAGAGGAGACTTAACCTAGTATCAAGTGTGGAGTACAAAGAAAGAGCGGGCTTGGTTAAAGCAGTAAGCATGTATGCCTGCGAACCCCCCAGCCTGACAGTGCTCTGGTCCTGAATCCAGTACCTGGCAAGGGCAGGATACCAGCAACTGAGTGATTTAGCGTCCATGCCTTTCCAAGCCTTCCTACCAAACTATATAGGTTAACCTTTTCATGCTCAGGGTGTAAACCAGGTTGAAAGCTGATCTCAGCTAAAATAAAAAAATACACAGCCCCTTGCCGCTACTTTAGAAACAGCAAGTAAGAACATAAACCAGCGATTAAAATATACAAAGATAAATTTGACTGGACTAGTATGCATGCAATCTTTTATCACTTTTAAAATTACACTTTAAGTTGCATACTGATATTTTAAAAATAAAATTTGGAACAAAAGCTGTCTGACATAACCACTGTGCAACTCAGTAGCAAGTCTGGAATTCTCAAAAAATTATTAACTTTATTTTTATGCATTGGTTAATTATATTTGCATTATTTTGCATTCACACTATTTTGAGGACACTAAAAATCCTCCATCCACTGAGAAGAGAGCTACAGGACTTACTTCCTGTTTCTGAAGATAAGAAAACTACTTATTACTTGATAGTGTTTTCCATTTTTCTCACAGAATTTGAAAACATAAATGTAAACTTACCACAAACATTATCATCCGGTTTTACAAATGGAAAAGCTGAGCAGAGGAATGAAGGATCAAGTGCTTCAGATGCTGGATTTCCATTCTCAGTTTCCTACTGTGCCAGTAAAACTTTATTCTTCCACCACAATGGCAGGTGTAAATCAAGCAATTCAGGGTGCAAATCTAGTGATCTCCCTTTGCAATTCACTTTGTGGGTACAAATCTTACTAGCTCTAATGACTTCTGTCAAAAGGACAGGCAAACACTAGCTGAAATTAAAGGGTAAGTATGAAGCATGTGATTGGGTTTATACTTTGAAGATTTGGTCAGAGCCTGGATCTTGATCTCAGTCACATCAGTCAGTAGAGTACTTTCCCTGTAACTCCAGTAGCACGTTTCCTCCTTTGGAAGGCAGACAGAAGTACAATATACCTGCAGAGATTTGAGAACAGATTTAGTTTTGCCAGGTCATGATTCTGGTTTTATGTTTCCATATTACTTATATTCATGCAGTGCTGTTGCTTTATTCTAAATGCTTTCTCCTCTGAGATGGGTACCCAGAGCAGAAAGTGGTCAAATTTCATTATATCTTATATGTTCAAAGATGGCATCTAGACAAATGCGTGGGCAGCCTGCAGAAGTGTGGATTAGACAGTACCATATAGGGGTCTATTCAAGGAGATAATAAAGCAAAGAGATCCCCTGATCTCTTTTTTCATTCTGCACTTTGAAGGTTTGATTCCAACAAGAAGCATTAGTACTGTTATGAGACAGATGGTGTCACACTCCAGATGAAGTATGGGGAAGTTATTGACTACTTAAATGTTAAGGAGAAGAAGCAAAGGGGCATTTTAAGGATAAGAACACTAACTGCACCTGCTTGGAGAAAGAGCATTTCCATTTCTGACAGTCCTCATGAGGCACTCCTTTCCAGAGACTCAGAGGTCTTTCCCTGGCAGAACTGTACCTTCATTTAAAAAACACAGTGCAGCCCTGTTGGTGCAATCTGATGAACAAAGGCTTTAGCAGATGCCATAGTGAGCACCCTAGTATTCACATTAGATCAGACACATTAAGACGAGCCAAGAATTAGGATTAATGTCGCAAGTTTTGCAGAGTTTATAAAAGACTCTAAAAGCTTATTCATACAATAGTAAGGATTTTCTGAAACAAGCAAACACCATTTAATCTGTTTTAAACTCCCATGGCTTGGGACAGAGGTAAACTGAGGGCGTTCCATTAGGGTTTGAAGAAACCTCTTCATACACATTAATTGTAACAAACATTATCAACATTACTTGAGAGTACTGTTTTCCTTCTTACTATACAAACTAGGTGCTGCACATTTCTAAGGCACATTTTTGAGACTATGTGCACCATGCTAATCAAAACCCATGAACTGGCTCACTGGAATATAGGGAGTGCCACACTGCATCAGACCAATAATCTTTGCTTTTAATGAAGTATTAACCAAGCACAGAAAGCTGTAACTCTTGTAATAGAAAATTTCATAATAACAAGCATTAGGGGTGGGGTGGGAAGGCAGCACAGTATGAGCTGCAGAAGAGGGCCAACTTACCTTTCGTAGCTTTAAATATACTGGTGTAATCAAAACTCTTCCCACAAAACCATTTTCATCATGCTTGAGTTTGTGCTCTTTACTCACAACTGTATGAGGTGAATGTCCTTGTGCTTAAATTTACTAGGAATTGCTGCCCTGGATAGTAAAGCATCAGGAAAGATGGGAGTCCGAGCAGTAGTCTACTACATGAGTACCACGATCATTGCTGTACTGATTGGTATAATCATTGTGGTCATCATCCACCCTGGGAAAGGTACTAAAGAAAACATGCACAGAGAAGGCAAAATTGTGCAAGTGACAGCAGCAGATGCCTTTCTTGATTTAATCAGGTATGGCTATGATATTGCACATTTTCTGTACCAATAGAAACAACCGTAATATTTAGATTCACACAAGAACAGAAGTAGAGAATTTTAGACAGTGACTACATTAAGTAGCCAAATTTCTTTCAACTATGTGATACCAATATCTCTAACCCCTACAATGCTACAAAAGAATACATGGATTTGGTTTCAAATCAAGCTGTTGCAAGGGAAGAAACTGCTTTTAATATTCAAAGAAAGATTCTTTTTTCACACACAAAAGAAAGACTTCTGTTCTGCTATCTGCATGGGTCTTTTCCCCCTCTTCCACAGCGCAATCCTTATTACCAAATTCCTCTGCTTTCCTTTACTTCCAACTTTCAACATTTTTCTTACTTCACTTGAATCCCTGATTTAGCTACTCATCCTAATTTTGAATTGTAGCTGCCAATCTGGGTGCATCTACTCAACTTGTTAAATTGTATGGATGGGAAACAAATTCCAGGAACAGGCAAGTAAAATGCTTGAAATAGAGGGGCACAGATATAAAGTTTTGTTTTCTCCTTGCTCAGAGACTCTGCAATGCCTCTTTTATAGAGCTAATATGTCACAGATGTATTCCAGGGAGTAGGGAAGCTGAGGTTGAACTCGGGAGCTTTTCCACAGGTAAAGCCACCAAAATTTTGTGTTCCACTAACCCATTTGGAGAAGCCAGAGACATGGAGAAAGGCCTCCAAGAGTCATGCTGCCAGGAAGGGGGACTTCAGAAAGACCCATGAAGAGGTTTGCACTCAGATTCCTCAAGATTTATTCAGTTAGGCTGCTTCTAATTCCCTCAGAAATGTCACCATTCTGGAAAGCAAAGAAACAAACGCCCATATGTAACAAGTATACACACACGTATATAATTATATGTGTATGTGTTATTATTAAAGAATACCCAAACTTCAGAAATATTCATTTCTTAATCACAGCAAGACTTCTTTAAATAGAGTGATAAATGTCATGATGTACTAGGCTACGTGACAGAAAAATTGCTTGAAAAGCAGATATGCACTAAATATTAATAACTTATTAATCTGGGTTCAGAAAGCATTAATAAATACAAAACTAAAAGTCAACACTGACCCACAGAGCTTTGTTCATTTGGTAATTTAGCTAATATTCTGCTCCATAACAAGACCTGCTATGCAATATTGGATACAGATATTGCACTTGCCAGGATCTATCCAACCCTACTGCATTTCATCCTGATAAAGCTAACCAGGCCAATGCTGTATGCAAAGCTCTAGTCACGGTATACATAATTACATACTTGTCTTAGAATTCCTTTGAAAATTAGCTGGTCAATTCTTTTATTAGCTGTGCCCCTACTTAAGATATTACTAGAGTCTTATTACTTCTCATGTTATTTTCTTTCTTTTTCACAGAAATATGTTCCCTCCAAATCTGGTGGAAGCTTGCTTTAAACAGGTAAAAGTCTTTTGTCATTTCCAACTAAAACATAAAAAAGTAAGAAATTGAAACGTAATAGCATTTTCTTTAGGAATATCACATGCTTGTACTTGCAGCAGAAACAAATCTTGTGTATGCTGCCAGCTGTCAAAAAACCCCAAACCAACCAAATGTGTGCTTTGTTTTCAATAATATTGTCTCAGCATTTTCTATGAGAATTGAAGAAAACACACTTGGCACAGCAAATTAAAAAATAAGCTTTTTCAAAATGTCATATTCTTAAGTCTACAGTGAGCTTCATTAAAGTCAATATGGAATTTACTTTTCAAAAACAGTCATGCTAAATGGGGAGATACTGACATATGCACCATCTGTACTAAGACTGGAAGATATTCAAGAATGTCATGTGAGAAATGTACATAGGTTCAAAACAGAGGCAACAATTTTGTGGACATCAATAACAAAATTGAACTTGAATACTTCCTGTCACCTGTGATAGGATGGCATAGGAATGCTCTTTCGATGTTGCTTCCCAAATTCCTTTGTCATTAGCCTGGTCTTAATCTTAACTGTTCTACAGAGAAAATAATGGTAAATAGTTATATTCCTTTTTTAAGAGGAGGACATTATAGATTCAGTGAAGCCTATAATATGTAATTTCCATAGTCTAATTTCTTCATATTGACCTCACAGACAATCCTGAACTGGTACTATTTACCAGTTATTGCTGTAGCAATAAAAAAAAAAGGTGAAATGTGGAGGTCAAGAAGCAAGAGGATAAAGTAGAAACTTTCCAAAGTCCAGCTGAGTTACATCTTGCAGAAGAATTGAAAAGAAACAGTAACATTTTTTTTAGTTATATAAACAGAGACCAATAAAAGGCAGTGAATTTCTAGATTAAAGATTTGGTCAAGATTAAAGATAAGCTAGACCCAGGTCCAAAACCAACAAATGCTATGCCTTTGTTTTCAGTAAAGATGATGATGAACTCAGGACAGAGATGCACAAGAGCAGTATAGAAATACAAAAGTCTGTATCTAAACTAGAAACAAAATTTAAAGAATTTAATGTAATAGAGTCAGGGAATGGTATCATCTTTATCTCAAAACAATGAAAAAATTTAGGGCATAAAGTTACAGGTCTAGCAGCAAGTATTTTTAACAAAACTCTCAAGTTGGGAAGTTATTATCTATGACTGGTAAAAACAATCGTAGTGCCTTTCAAATTGCAATCTGAAAAAGATTTTGAAATTGATTTAGGAAGTTAATAACCCATTAGCTAGGTCTCAGTTGTACTGAAGGGTATAAGTACTTGAAGGAAAGAGAAAAGACTTCATAATAAATGAATTAAAAATACATTAAAAAAAAAGAGAGAGTAAGAATAACACAGGTTTATGCAACATGGATCACACCAGAATAACCTTCCATCTTTCTTCCACAAGAATCCTCATTTTCTTCTTTTTCTTCCTTTTTTTGTGCCACAGAAGTGCAATGTATCCAATCTGAATTGGATCTTGCAGACATTGGCATGTTTATCTTCTTGTAGCTCTTTATCACGTGTGAAATAAACATTTATAAATTAACAGTAATTTCTGCTTTGAAATGGGAAGTCATAATCAGAAAGAAAAAAAAAATTAAAACCCTCTAATTCAGCTCTAGGATATATTAGGTAACATAACTCCGAGAGAGGAAATAAAGCCAGAGGAATGTGACTGTCTGGAATACTGAGTATATTCAGGTCATTACATTCATAGGAAGATTCATGCGAAGTAAGAACAATGGAGCAAGGTGTTGCTGGGATTATCAAAAAAACACAGCATGTAAAGCAAAAAGAATCTTGATTTTAAAACTATCCAGGCATAAAAAACAAAGTGGGAACAGAACTGTATAAGATAAAGAAAAATGTTTATACAAGAAGTAATGGAAATCACTATGACTGAATTTAAAGTGGGAATCAGTAAGTTTTTCAACCTTCATTACCTAGAAGGTGAGGTCCTGGAAAAATCTTCAATTAGGAGTCATGGGAACAAACTACTTCATCAGTTTTAAGATAAGGCTTGAAAAATTCTTTCAACAAAGTATCCTACAGCAACAGGAAGCTTGACTCAGTGACTAGCAGTCCTAAATCTATGTTCTTAATTAAAGATGTCCTGTAGATTCTGTTTATATTAAGTACATTGTATTTCTCATGTGCTTTACAGCTTAAAGAGATTTCCGAAAAAAGGTTCAAAAACAAGGACATGTTTAATGAACGTTTTTTCTGACTTTCAGCAGCAGCTATGCTTACTGAAGCACCAGGCTTTTAAATCTGTCACACTGATAATATTACCTTTTGAATCTGGTACCAAACCCTAGATTTTTAGGTATAAGTTACTTTGTTGTGGTAGATCTGTTAAACTAAAACCATTTTACAGGAGAAACAAATATGTGTACAATTCACAGGTATCCAGATGACTTTGTACATCTGACTCACAGAATCACACAGAATCACAGAATTGCAAGGGTTGGAAGGGACCTCGGGAGAACATCTAGTCCAACCCCCCTGCTAAAGCAGGTTCTCCTAGAGCAGGTTACACAGGACTTCATCCAGGTGGGCGTTGAATATCTCCAGAGAAGGAGACTCCACAACTCCCCTGGGCAGCCTGTTCTAGTGCTCTGTCACCCTCAGAGTAAAGAAGTTTTTCCTCATATTCAACTGGAACCTCTTATGTCTCAGTTTGTGCCCATTGCCCCTTGTCCTGTCACAGGACACCACTGCAAAGAGTCTGGCTCCGTCTTCCATAACTTTCTTTTCAAAAGTTTACATCAGGTGTTTCATATGTTTCTCAGAAGATTTATGAAGAAGGATGATCCATCTGGCACTAATCTGGTTCTGTAATGCCTTGTTTGCTGGCCCAAACATAAAACATTCCACTACTCGTAGCTGTTCACACTCAAAGGTGTAATACTGATCCATAGCTTAGCACACCTGGAAACCATCACTGGCATATGCACTCCACATTCAAATCACATCTTTTGATATATTAGTTGCTCACATACTGTCTCATAACATTCTTAGGCAGGTTTCTGTCCTGACAAAGATCTGCACTGGAACCCACTGGAAGGATTTTCTTGCTTTCTCACCATGGCCAGCAGACAGGTCCTCTAATGACCGTATCAGTACTCACAGCAAAAGTTTTGAACCTGTTACTTTCCCCATCAATAGCAAGCACTTCCGAAAGCAGCTCCACTAAAACACAGGACCATCATTTCCAAAGTTTTTAACCTCAAAAGATCAACTATTATGCAAATTTTATAACACCAAGACATGGAAAACTGTGCTTCCTTTTGCATAATTAATTTTGGTGAAGTAAAGTTAGTTTTCTGTATGTGGAATTGTTCTGCAAAATGAAATGGACCTGCATGGAGAAGGCTCCTAGATGGAGTTTGGAAAGCATTTATAGGATTGCTGCTGGGAGAAGAAAAGTCATGAAGGAAGACTGGGACCTCAGGACTCATTTATGAAGGATCTTCCCAAATTTTCTACTGTTCCTCATTCAGTCTTCTGGTCCTTTGGATTGTCTTTTCTGTTCTTCTTTCCCAGCAAGCCTGTGAGGCAAACAAAGCTGCCCCCTCTTGCTGCTTCTTCTTCTCCTCCTCCTCCTTTGCACATTTTCTTCCCCAGAAACAGGAAGAGTGGTGCAACAAAATTTTCCTTCCCCTCCAAAAAGGATCCCCCCCCTCTGTGGATTCCAGAAGCCAGGAGTGCCTGTAGGAGAGAAAGGAGAGCCCATGGAAAAGCTAAGGAAATATTTTAATTCAAACCTTTCAGCTGAGAATCAGCAGAACAATTTCAGGCTCGGATGGTGGCATTCAGCCCCATGCCCCAGGGAAGTCTACAGGGACAAAGGGCCACCCTTGCCTAGCATGTCAATTTAAGAAGAATAATCTGGAAAATGTTGGGCTTTAGCTTCACTCTGTTCTTCACTAGTTACTCCCCCTCTCCCTGTGAAAGACCAAAGTCCTGTTGGCACCCTGTCTCTATCAGGACCTCCTCCAATTAAATCAGTGGCAGACAGGGATCACTGGAAACAGCAGACTGTTAATTCAAACAACACACTTCCTGATGCTCATTATTTCCTTATGACAGATGTTGCTACCTTCATTATGCACTGATCATCTGGAGGCTTTTGTGATTTTTATCAGTAACAGGAGAATCTGAAAACACTGTCTGCAGATAAATATTCCACACTTACCTAAGACTAGATTACTTTGTTCAAAATTTTCTCTATACCGCTATATTCACCCCCAGTTTAGGGATTTCTAAAGAAATACTTGGATTTATCTTTCAGCTCTGGCCATTATGTCTTCATTTCTCTTTCTTTGCTAAATTCAGAAATGCTATCTAACCTGGAGCTAAGCAGTCATAAGCCGTCTGCTTGTTAAGCAGATACTGCTTTTTAACTGCATGTTCTTTGTACTGTGCTCTGGCTATATATCAAAAGACAAAAGAAACACAAGTGAAGTTGGGACATCAAGAGAAACAGAATCAGTCTAACAATTTGGGGAGGGTCATTCTATTGTAAATAGGTGGAATCTGATGCCAGCTAAAGCTTAAAGAACTGGAAAGGGGCATCTGATAACTGCATTTCTGCTGAGCTATCTTTAATTAAATAGTCTTTCCTCAAGTCATCCATATCAAGGGGATTGGAAGTGTTAATCACACATCCAGACTAATATATGCTGTCTATTCCTCATGGCAATTTTGGCTGGTTAAAATATATTTTAACCTGTGTCATCAGCTCTTCTGTAGACAATTTCGAATGCTTTCACACATGTCCATATGGAAAGGAAAGAAAAAATTAATTAGGAAGATGGGATATCACTGCCTTATTTTAATTCTTTTTCCTTTTTTAGGCCTGCATTTAAGCAAACTTTTTGTTTTTAAAATCATCATTCACTAAAAACTACATCATCACACAGACTTAGCACGGAGAGTGCTAATTATACTATCTAGAATACTGACAGTAAATTAGGAGTTTTCAGAGCACTTACCCCTGCAATTACCCTGTCTGCAAGTTAACCTGTGGAATGTGCTAATGCCATGTTATGTTGTTGCTTCTTAAAAAGTCATGCAATATATTCAAGTCGAATGACAGTGGGTGTCTTGTACCACTAATGAAAACAAAACAATTATAAAAGTGTAAACAACTACTTGATTATATGATGCAATAAAGTACTTATATTGCCTATTTCATAATGAGGTAACTTAATTAAAATTCATTTTAAAGTTGTTCATTAGCATCATGTCTTGTAAAAAAGTCCAGAAATGCTATTATTTTTATATTTTGCTTGCAGATAAGGTTATTCATAGAAAGCTGTTAGTATTAATATGTTCCAAATAACATTTACCTTGCTCCTAATTTGTTCTCAATACATGAACTTGCCAAAAAATTATGAGTATTTTGCATCTAAAATCTTACCAGGCAAAAATACCTCTGTTCGGAGTCAAAAATGCTCCAAACATCCTCAGAAATGACAGGGCTTTGGTGATGTTGTCTAGCCCATCATAGACTATTAGTGTAGGTGTGTTGACTTTTAGTAAACCATAACCAGTCTTCTGAGACACTTAAGCTTACTTTCTCTTATATGAGCTGTTTTTCTTTGTCTAATTTCTTCCATTACTGAACCTTGCAAAATAACAACGATCTGTGGAATCACAGTGTGATATTTAAATGTCAGTTTGAGCTACATGAACAGCTAATAACTCTGATTTCCACCAAGATAGAGATCTGCCTGAAAGCATGAATCTCATAAAAGCTCACGAAATTATCTCTTATCACCAGTTTCTCTACGGTGTAGTAATAGCCAACTCTGCTGTTACCTCACCTATTTCAAAAATTCTGACATTTTCTATTATCTTGAAGGTGGTCTTCCATCCTGTCACTTCTTCTACACAGTTGCCTTTTTCACCATTCCACACACAGAAAATTTGGTTTGTGGCAGTCAAGCAATCTTTTATTTTGCCTCTAGTGCCATCTGAAAAAGCACTAACAATAATAAAGCTCAACCTACACTTTTCCTTACTAGGTATCTCCTTTGCGTTTCCCGCATTTGGTTTTCCTTAATTCCTTTTGCTTCACCAGGAACCTTCTCATGACTTTTGATAGACAACTTTGGGCATAAGAAGACAGACACATCCACAGAGTTACCCTTAAACTCATTTAGTAATAATGAAAGAAAGGCTAGTTCAGGTGACTGTCCCAGAGCAAGTGGAGTTGCTCTGATTCCTGCTTCTCAGATTCCATGTTGAAACTCACTCTAAATAAACCGTTTCTCCACTGCTCTGGAAAGGGTTCTAGAAAGATTGTTCTCCTAAGTAACATTTCTGAATACTTAAGTCTGACCAACAGGGTGAGTCAACAGATGAGATCTACATCTCTGTGCAACAGTCTAGTAGCTGAAATGGAAATGGACTTCACTAAGTGGGGTTCTAAAATCCCTATTATGTCCCTAAAGAAACTTAACTAATAAAGAATTAAAGACATCCTCCTGCTGGGGCAGAATTCCAGAATCAACACAAAAAAGAAGGAATGTGTTTATTACAACCTAAATTGATTCCTAAGTGGAGTTTTGAAAGGCAAGAAACTTCATGCAATTTTACTTTCTCCCCTGTAGCTGCCCAACTTCTTCTCAGTTCCCTGTCATAATTTTTGAGCCGTATAGGCAATTCCAACCTAATTTGACATCAGGGGGGCAATTCTCATTCTGCCAACCATCCAGGCAGTACACACCTAACACTGCCTGACAGCTATATCACCTATTAGTTAGGAAATTAATAAGAACTTCAGTAGGAAACTAGGCTTTAATTCCAGTCCTCATGAAGCAGTTTGCTTTCTTATTACACCCTTCAGATATTTGCATTAAGGAATTTTTACCTAAGTTTTTTTTCTACCGAAATAGAGTAATAAAAATATACATATAAGACAATTATCATACCTGTAAAAATAAAAATAAAATAAAAAAAGAGAAGTGTTTGATGTACAGTGTTAGGCAGTATTTTAACATTGCTGTCAGGACTGAATTAAAAACGCTTTAGTGAGAACTTCTAGAAAATTTCCTTTTCCACTCTAATGCCTCTCTGTCACATGAAGAGGCAATCCCATCCCTCATTCCCCAGCTGTATAGTTCCAGCCTCAGTACAGTTGCCCTCTCTGGCATTCATCAGTCAGTGAGCTGATTCACCTCCATAGCCTTTACCATGGCCACTTTTTTGCTTGTTAAGTTTTCTGCCAATTTACAAAGAGGAATTGGCTCACTAGAACTGGCACAGGGGAGAAATTACTACAGGTTGGATGTGAGTGGTGAGGGAGTGGAACTGGGCTTTTCCATGTCAGCCAACTGTTCGAACAGCTCAGCTGTCTCCTCTAACAACAGCCCATATCTTAAAACATTTTAGCAAGTTTCATTTAAAACTTAAGAATATCTGACCTCCATGGAGATTTGTTGTGCTACATCTTAGAAACTTTCCATAAATCTTCTGTAAACAAGTTTTATTTGACCTTCCAAAAGACTTGAAGCCTAACAGAAAACTAGGTCTGTGTTGATAGATGCTGATATTCAGGTTTCCCATCTTAGTCATAAGTACTCCATTTCACTCAAATACTTTTGGAGTGTGCAACAGTCTCCAGATATTACTAATAATACTACAGCTCATAGACTTCATATTTGTCTTTTGTTGGCAGGCCCAAAGGAATAAAAATCCAATGTTGCTGAATAACCTGGACACCAGCATCATGTTGCTTTAATAGGGTATTTAGCATTGTGAGATATAGCAGAAACATTTTATGAGTGGTATTCAGTATTCTTCGTGTTCAATAGAATTTAATCAGGACAGGGCTGCAGGGCTTTTTGAGCCCAGACAGAAATATTCAGGATGCACATTTTTCTTTGGAAAACCATTAGGTGATGAAAGACTGGATTTCAAAGTAGATGTTTAGGAGCATATTGAGATTTTGAAATTGGTTTGCCCATTCTATAATGGAACTATTTAAGGTAGAACCCTTTCTTAATTAAGAAGTTAAGCCGTGATTTGTTACTGCAAAGCATAGAAAACTAATGGCTTTGCCATAGCAAAGGAAAAAAGAAGTATGTTATATTTAAGTTACTTTCAGTCTAATTTTTTCTAATTCAAAAAGATGAAAAAGTAAGGAAACTCTAGAGAACATGAAAATATTTTCCATAGCCAAAAAAGACCTATTTATTTAACAGATGGAAATATGCTGTTGGGAAAAATAGCAATTTATAAAAATGGAAACTAAGAGCAATAGTTTTGTCACAAAACTCATGAGCATGAAAAAAATCTGTCTTTGATTTTGACATATTTATGAGAAAATGAGTTCTCAAAGATAAAGGTGAAGATTTAGCCCTTGACGTTAAAATGGATTTTTGTTGTTTTCAGGAAAGCCAGGCTTTCATCACAATACATTTTACCAATAAATATTATACAAAGAGTACAAATGTCCTACAAGACTAATTAATAATTTAATGTATGATTTTTACCTTTGTTTGCAGTAATTCACGGAATTCCTATCTTTCTTTTATTTTTGTTTTAACAGTTCAAAACTAACTATGAAAAGAGAATGTTTAAAGTAAATATTCCATCCAATGACACATCCACAGTGGCTTCCATAATAAGCAATGTGTCAGAAGCAATGGAAACCCTCACCCGAATGAAAGAGGAAATAGTTCCTGTTCCAGGTTCTGTAAATGGAGTGAATGCCCTTGGCTTGGTGGTTTTCTCAATAAGCTTTGGCCTGGTGATTGGAAGCATGAAGGAGCAAGGTCAGGCATTAAAAGACTTCTTTGATAGTCTTAATGAGGCTATCATGAGATTGGTAGCACTAATCATGTGGTAAGTGCCTCTTTGATAAGTTCCATTTTAAGTTACTAACAATATTTTTTCAACAGTCAGGCACTGGGTAGCAAGAGCCTGTTTGGCAGCAAGTCAGACAATAGGATCTTAACTGACTAGTAGCTTTTTTCATAAATGAATCATAGAATCATAGAATGGCTCAACTTGAAAGCAACCTTAAAGATCAGCTAGTTCTGACCCCCCTGCCATGGGCAAGGACACCTTCCACTTAGATCAGGTGGCTCAGAGCCCCATCCAACCTGGTCTTGAATGTTTCCAGGGATGGCACATCCACAACTTCTCTGGGCAACTTGTTCCAGTGTTTCACCATCCTCATAGTGAAGAATTTCTTCCTCATATCTAATCTGAATCTACCCTCTTTCAGTTTAAAGCCATTACCCTTTGTTCTATTGCAACAGGCCTTGCCAAAAAGTCTGTCCCCATCTTTCTTATAAGCCCCATGATATAACCCCACTGATAGGCCACAAGGTCTCCCCGCAGCCTTCTCTTCTCCAGGCTGAAAACCTCCAACTTCCTCAGCCTGTCCTCATAGGAGAGGTGTTCCATCCCCCTGATCATCTTTGTGGCCTTCCTCTGGACTCACTCTAATAGGTTCTTCTTATGTTGGGGGCCCTACAGCTGAACACAGTACTTCAGGTGGGGTCTCATGAGAGTGGAGTAGAGGGGCAGAATCACCTCCCTTGACCTGTTTCTTTTGATGCAGCCCAGGAGATGGCTGGCTTTCAGGGCTGCAAGCGCACATTGCTGGCTCATGTTGAGCTTCTCAACAACCAACACCCCCACGTCCTTCTCGTCAGCGCTGCTCTCAATCCATTCTTGACCAGCCTGTATTTGTGCTTGGGATTGCCCCGATCCAGGTGCAGGACCTTGCACTTGGCCTTGTTGAACTTCATGAGGTTGGCACAGGCCCACCTCTAAAGCCTGTCAAGGTTCCTCTGGACGGCATCCAGTCCCTCCGGCATGTCACCCACACTACAGAGCTTGGTGTCATTGGCAAACTTGCTGAGGGCACACTCAATCCCACTGTTCATGTTGCCAACAAAGATATTAAACAGTGCCGGTCCCAATACCAACACTTGAGGAATGCCACTCATCACTGATCTCCACTTGGACATCAAGATGTTGACTGCAACTCTTCGAGTGTGACCATCCAGCCAATTGCTTATCTACCATGTAGGCTACCTGTGAAATCCGTGTCCCTCCAATTTAGAGATAAGGGTGTCATGCGGGACAGTGTCAAATGCTTTGCACAAGTCCAGGTAGATGATGTCAGTTGCTCTTCCCTTATCTACCAACACTATAACCCCGCTGTAGAAGGCCACCAAATTTGTCAGGCATGATTTGCCCTTAGTGAAGCCATGTTGGCTGTCACCAATCACCACCTTATTTCCCATGTGCCTTAGCACAGTTTCCAGGAGGATCTGCTCCATGATCTTGCTGAGCACAGAGGTGAGACTGACTGACCTGTAGTTCCCTGCGTCTCGAACGCAAGAACTGCAATTCTGTATATCAAAATTTACCAAAAAATACCTACCCTTTTGGTGTATTTTGCTTTTGATGTGAGAAAAATCAGGGTCTATGGCAGAACTTGCTAAGCTTATACAAAGCCATTCTATGTCTTCATAAAGATAGCAATCACAACAGCATGCTATCAAACTTTCCTTATATCCTAATCTGACTTCACTAAAAGAAACTGACAAACCTCTCCCATAATCTTATTTCTACACAGCAGGACCTTGTTATCATTATTTTCCAACACAACTGGTTCCTGCAGTTGTGTAGTGCATATGTATGTCCTTGCATTGTAGCTGCACTGCTTACACATACACATAATTTTCCTACTTTCTTTGTTGGTTTCAATAGCTAAATAAAACCAATACCTTTCCCTCAAACATTAGGTATGAAGTTTTTTCACCACTGGAGATTCATTATTTGTCAAGCAGAAGGTTAATTATGAAAAGAAATGTTGTCTTGTTACCTTCTTTACTACAGAAAACAGACAAACAAACAAATCAACTCCAAAAGTCTACCCAAGAGCACACACACATATGTTGCAGTACTGCATACAAAACTATAAATAAGTAGGTTTTTTTTTCCAGTAACTGAAATTCTATTCTGCAGGGAACATCTATACAAAGCAAAAATCTTTCCTCCTTCTTTACAAGCACGCTTAATATGATAAAGTAGTGGATGAGAATTGTTACTTTTCTGAGAAATTTCTACATGGATTTGATGGTTCGAAGTGCAATTGAGATATACTGGACAAATTTTGTTCTGTGGTAACTTAATGTGAAAGGACAAGTGGACAATTATAGAAATAAGGCTATACCAAAAGTCCAGCCACAGCAGAATTATGTTAGTGTTTTATGCTCAGCACTAGCTCTTTCTTTTTCTGTAGCTGTGCTCACCAACCGGAAAAAGCAGATTATACCACCTTTGTTGCTGCCCTACAATGCAGCTAACCTCTATCATACACATGGCTTCACGCTAAAGTATTTATCCAGTGCCACACTGGATAAAATGGGGCATGGCCAGAAGCAGCTTGAATGCATCGGAAGTTATCGGCCTTCTGTGGGGGTTCCTTCCCTGGCAACACAGGAAACAGCACTGGCAAGATAATGGAACTGGACACTTGGCACAGTCTCCAACTATGTCAGTTGAGCCTTTGTTCATACAGAAAAAATTATAACACAATTGGCTAAACTAGCTTTTAAATGACGCTTGGATTCCAAAGAGAGCTTCTCCCTGCATGTCTGAAAGGCATGCTATACATCTTGAAATCCTTATCAGATCCTGAATCTAAAAGAGCCTATCAGAAACATTCCATGCTGTGGTTTAATCCAGGTTGAACTGTTAAGAGTTAAACTCTTGAACTGCTTCTGAATAATTGCAGTCGTCCTAACAGTGAAACCCTACATTCAGGCATGCATATAAACACAAAAGTTATGGATGGGAAAGTGAATTTCTACCTTGTTCAGTACAATACTGATTTGATTTCTTATTTGCAGGTATGCTCCACTTGGAATCCTCTTCCTGATTGCTGGAAAAATTGTTGAGATGGAAGATATGGGTGTGATCGGTGGCCAGCTTGCCATGTATACTGTAACAGTTATCATCGGTCTGCTAATTCATGCTGTCATTGTCCTACCTCTTCTCTACTTCCTGATCACTCGTAAGAACCCTTGGGTATTTATTGGAGGCTTAATCCAGGCATTAGTCACAGCTTTGGGAACGTCTTCCAGGTATAATACAATATTTCAAGGCCATATTCTTTTTATAATATTACTGGTTTGAGAAACAATTTTGCCTAATGTAATTTGTTAACTCGTATTCAAATATTCACTTGGGCACTTTATTTCAGTTCTGCTGCCCTCCAATAGAAATAATTATTATCATTATATTAACTTGAGCTCTCTTTTCTATAAGAATCCCTGGACAGGGATGTAAGGAGTCTGTTCGATGATGTGGACTGTATGGCTGGAATCCCTGTGACTTTGATTAGCCTTGGTGTTTGAGATTTTTGAATGGTTTGTGATCGCTTCTGGATAAAGGATACAGCTGGCAAAGGATGTGCATGGCAAAATGGAGCAGCAAACAGGAAAGTTCAGAGGTGATTCTGAGACAGCTTCAGAGCCCTAACTGGCAGCTGATGTTCTGTGCTCAAAATTCTGATAGCCAGTCATTGGTATACAACCTGCAACAGAAATGCCATTTTTGCTCTTTGTTGATGAAGTCATAGGTACATCATATGAATAAAAAAAAATTTGCATCTATGATGAAAGGAAACATCATTGTAATAAAATATACATTTCCATATCATATGACCTTTCATAAAACACCTTTAATTTGCATAGATTTTAAAAGTGTCTCCTAAAGACAGATGTTTTAAATCAGACATTCTGTATTAAGAAATTCAAGTCCCTGGTGTTTGGGATTATTTTGAAGATCTGGATGAGAAGCTAGTGTGACCGTTAATGTAGAATCTGATTAGTTTTTGTATAACCGGAAGAGCTCTTAAGGACTTAAGAAAATTATGACGGTATATTAACGGGTAGAGAGGGACAATTACTAATTTCACATTTGACATTTTGATGTTAATCCTTGCAAATCTGTGGAATGCCTAAAAGGGAATTTGATTAATAACGATTTTTAAAAGAAGATAATAAAACTAATGCCAGTCAACATAATTTAAAAGAAAATAGAGGATTTGTTCCAGCTTCTGTCAGGCGTTCCACTTGGTGCTGCTCAAGATTCTCAGTAAGAATCTAGACTGATGCAAGAAAGCATACTATACTGCAAGTGGCTTTAAAAGCTGTTTAAAATTCAGCTGTAAGCTGACTGTCATCAAAGAGATTTTTTAGCAGTCTTCCACAGCTCTTCTTTGCATTTCATCAGTATTTTATTTTATCAATATTGGCAAAGTTTTGAAAGACATGGAAGTCTGCTAAATAGTTAGCAATGAAGAGTTCACTGAGACGGAGAAACCTGAATCGTTTGGTCTTGAAAAGCCTCTTTACTTCGGTGTGATCAGGTGTAGAGATACATCTTTAAGAACAAAGAGCCCAGCCAGCTCGTATAAAATGAGTACCTTACCCTTCCTTCTGAGGCAGTGTTTCTGAAAAGGAACTTGGCGTCATGTCAGCTGAATGGGCAAAAGCCAAAATTCTCAGTTGGGTTGGCCTTTAAATGAAATTATCATTTATATCATATTGGAGGTAGCAGCAGAGGAAAAAGATTAAGTGGTGTATGGGGCCTGGCTGGGGCAGAGTTAACTTTCTTCACAGCAGCTCGTATGGTGCCATGTTTTAGATTTCTGACCAAACCAACACTGATCACACACTGATGTTCTAGCTATTGCTGAACAGTATTTGCACAGCGTCAAGGCCTTCTCTGTTTCTCACTCTGCCCCTGCAGTGACTAGATCGAGGGGTGCGGAACAGGTTGGGAGGGCACGTAGCCAGGCAGATGACCCGAACTAACTGAAGAGGTATTTCCTGCTATATAACATCAAGATCAGCAATAAAAAGGGAGAAGAGGGGATTTTAGGTAGGCCAGCCATCTTTCACTCGGGAACTGGCTGGGAATTGGTCTACCTGTGGGAAGTAATGAGTGAGTGCCTTTGCATCAATTGTTTGGTTTTGGTTTGTTGGTTTGTTTTCTTTCCCTCTTCTTCCACCTACCCTTTACTTCTTCAATTTTATTTTTTTTATGTCAGTCCCTGCATTTTCTTGCTTTTACTGTTCCTTTCCTCTTTGCCTGCCCCACTCAGGGTGTGGGGGCAAGTAAGCGAGTAGCTGTGTGTTGCTTAGCTGCCTACTGGTGTTAATCCACGAGTGGTAAAGTAATCTGTCAAAGTGCCCTTCCCAGGGGAACCAGCAAATAAATAAGAGAAAACATGTTGTTTACTGAAGGCTTGGATAGCTCAATTTGTATAACTTCAGGAAAACAATGATGATTCAATCATAACTCCATGACATAAAAATTGAGAAGTGGGAATCGTGACAAAATAGTGAAGTTAGACACATTCAGACTAGGGACTACATGGACAGTGACAGTAATTAACCATTGGAAAAACTTTCCTAGAGCATTAGGAGAATCTCCATCATTAGAAATATTTGAATTCAGCCTTCACATTTTCTAAAAAAATATTCTGGTAAATCACATAAAAATTAAGACAGAACAATCTGTTGTCATCACAATGACAAGAGACACACTTTTCATTCCCTCTTTGTAGCATTTGTATCAACTATCGTCTCTTTTTTTGTTTCAGTTCTGCAACATTACCTGTTACATTTAAGTGTCTAGAAGAAATAAATGGAGTGGACAAACGAGTTACAAGATTTGTACTCCCAGTTGGTGCTACAATTAATATGGATGGAACTGCCTTATATGAGGCTTTGGCTGCAATTTTCATTGCACAGGTTAACAACTTTGATCTGAACTTTGGGCAGATTATCACCATCAGGTACAGAAGCCATTATTACCTACACCTAATAAAAGCATCTTTATGATGACTCCTTCTTGCTGTTATATGTGGGATTAAACAAAAGCATCTAGAGCTAAAACCAATAACTGCTAAAGTAGCTGACTAACGGTAATGATTATTAGCTAAAATTTTGAAAAACTGTAATGACACAGCTATCACTGCACTTAGTAGAGTTGACACAAACAGTTTTTAATGACTTTTAAATTTTCTTTCTTAAGAACTCACACAGCTGTTGGAAGCTACAGACTTGCAATCAGTGCCAGGTTGTTTATAATGCAAGTACAAAGCAGTAGCATAAAAGCATCATTGTGCAAATGCTAGGAGAGGTATTGTTTGCTAGTCCTGATGGTCTCAGAATACAAGTAGAGCAAGCTCTGTAAGGAGCAGTAATACCTTTTATTACACCAGCTGATATAGGTGGAGAAGATAGGTATGTTTTTCAAGCACACAAGCCTTCATATTTGAAATGGAACAGCAAACAACCCACTAAGTAGCACTCAATGATAACTGATCTGCATTAATTTCATTATGTTACTCAAACAGCTTAAGAGAAAAGGGTGATGGGTACATGTGCAGAAGAAATGTCAGCAAGGGGAGAGAGGGACACTGTATGACAGAGAGACAAGTATTTATCACCTAGGAACACTGAAAGTTCAGATATGGTGAACTGGGAGTGTAGAAGATTTTCATGCATAAGTGCTTCTCTCCATAAATCCACCAGCTTAGTTCAATATTCATCAACAGAAGGCAAAACTCTGCCTTCATGCTCCAAGGCAATAGTTCCACATTTATTAGTAGTAGAGGTGCTCACTGCCAAATCACATGACAAAACAAATTCTTCCTAAACCATGTGTGAACAAGTGTATTTCTATCAAGTTACTAGACTGTATGATTCAGGGTTTCTGGCAGCTTTCTGCTTTCTGATGGCAAAATGCCAGCTGCTGGAGGACAGATACTTCACCTGGCATAAAGTTACGGTGAGATGGACAGAGAACAAAAGTTCCTGCATTAGATCTGCCAGGACAAAATTACCTCCTCAGCTTTTCTTTTAACATGTTTGAGCTTGTGGAGTGAGTTTGCTCAACAGGTGGGAGCATGTAGCTACAATGTTCTTGTCTGGCCCTTAGCATCTAGTAGGGGATTTACTACCTAACAAAATCATGTTTTGAGGGTTCTGGATAAAAGTTTAGTGTAAACATTTTGGATTAAGATCCACACTCCCCTGCAGCTATGCAATGTTCAGATAAGGGAATGGGCTCATCTTTTTATTTACTACTGAGCAAATACCTTCTTGCTTCACATGTGTTTTTAATGTTTGCCAGATGGTAAGGAGGGTTTATCACGGAAGTCAATTAATTGCTCTTGCCATCACTTTGCACAGCATCACAGCTACAGCTGCCAGTATTGGGGCTGCAGGCATTCCTCAAGCTGGACTGGTCACCATGGTCATTGTGCTTACATCAGTGGGTTTGCCTACAGATGATATCACTCTTATCATTGCAGTGGACTGGTTCTTGTAAGTATTTTTGTGGAGTCACTAAGGGCTTAGGTATTTAGAAATGCAATAGCCATGGCCTTTCTGGCAATACTGCAAGCAGTGGTGAACTTCTTTTGCTGTGGAGGGCAATTGGAAAGAAACATTAAAAATAATCACAGTTTCTTGCGATTAATGTATTTTCTTAGAGCAGATGGTGAGGGATGTTACTTAATGATGGTTCCTCTTGCATGCAAAAGGGTTACCTGGATCCTTAGCGTACTAAGAAAACTTTCAGACACACTGTAATTAAATTAGCAAAAAATTGCTCTAGTCTTCTATTTTTTGTAGGATGGCAGTGAAAACCTTTCCATCAATCAGGTGCAGAGCTGGTTCAGGTCCTACTGAGTTCATTGCAGCCCTACTGACTATCTAATCTAGAAAAGGGTCATATGTCTACCCCATGGACACAGAAATGAGAAACAGTTGTGTAACTCTCTTACCGAGCCACCACAATGTATTGCCCCTTGGTTTTTCCATTCCTCTGTCCACAGAAGATTGACACCTGTAGGTATACTTGGAAATCCCTTAGGTTCAGGAACTAAATCAAAGGCAGAATGTTTCCTCCGACCTCTATTTCACCTAACCCCTACTAGTTATAATTTCCAGAGGCTTTTACTCTTCAGTCTTCTCAGGTAATCCCTGCAAGAAGTTGCCCATGTTATTATAAGAACATAATGTCTTCAAATTATTATCTAACCACACGCCCACAGCCTTCTGTAGGTGGACACTTATCGAGTAACAGTGCTAGGCACTCCTCGTCAATCTGGGCAGACCCCACTAAGAGGGCTGGATTGTTGTAGTTTAATTTGAAATATCTCAGCAGGATTCCACCCTAAATTACTGACTGTAGTTTACGGTCAGGAGGGAAATGACCCTAACAAGGTAGATCCTCATTGACTTACATGTTCAGAGGATATAAACTCACACCACTGGAGTATAGAAACGCCTCTGAGAAGCATCTGCCATATGGTCCCTTTGTCGTCCCCATAACACAGCTGTTTCTTGCTGTGAAGTTGCCAAGAGTATTATCACATTTTGAGACTCCAAATCCTACTGTATTTGTTAATTTCTGTAGAAGAAATCACGGCATTAACAGTTGAGATAAATGAATATACATAAAATAGCCAAATCATGTAGCAGCTATTCAAAGGCCATTTTATCAGCTAGTCTGCATGCTTCCCTGAACAAGTGGTGAAATCGAGGCTAACTTACTATTTCTCCTTAGGGATCGTCTCCGTACCACTACCAATGTCTTGGGAGACTCTATTGGAGCCGGAATTGTTGAACATTTATCACGGCATGAGCTGAAGAACAGGGATGCTGAAATGGGTAATTCTGTGATAGAGGAGAATGAAATGAAGAAACCCTACCAACTGATCTCACAAGAAAATGAGAGTGAGAAGCCATTAGATAGTGAAACCAAGATGTAGGGCAAAGAAAGCATGAGTCCAACACTACAAATGTGGAAAACACACACTTTTTCCAGCCATTTATATCTTGAATTCACCAAGTTCACTTATTCCTCGTTTTCTCCCTTTATGCTAGCACTGGAAAGAATTAATGAAAATCTATTCCAAATTAGCAGTGATCACAGTATATGTTGGCTCCCCATTTAAAAAAAATTAACAGGCAACAATACTGGTCCTGCTAGACATGTGCTAACTGAGGATAAAAAAGAGACATTGTCAATTAAATAAAAAAAAAATCAGTGTATATATTACCAGTCCTGTGAAACTTTTTTTTTTTTTTATGAACTGGAAAGTAAAAACAGATAACAGAGCCTGAAAATGATTTTATTTTTTTAAATACCTGTTGCAAAATTCCTAACACATATTAAACCACAATCAATACTTCTAACTTGATAACTGCATCCAGCTAAGTAAATTAACAGGATTTTTGCTTTTTTATCCAATTTTTTTTCTAGTGTTATATTGTTGTTCAAATACAAGGAGGACAATGAAAAGAAGGACATTAATTGAAAGGATAGAAAGAGGGAAAGATATATAAATAAAGAAAAAAATACCCCGAATCAGCACTTTTATCAGCTGAGTTGAAATATTTCTGAAAAAGTTATTATATCTAGACACAGTTTTTTGCATCAGCCTCAGCTGGTCTTGACTAAAACTTAGTCAGCTCCCACTGACTTGCAAATATTTACATGTGTACATATGTATCTCCAGTATCCAGAAGGATTTGGCCCCTTCATTTGAACATCACAACCCATCTGAAAAATCTGTGTGTGTGTTTGTAGGAGCAAGGCCTCAGGCTGGAACAGAAAATGTGTCTTTATCTCTGTTTGGAAAAAAATACTCTGGCTATACCAATTATCTACTTAATAATCAATAAAAAGAACAGACGGCAGTGCTGGCCTTCTGCAGAAGGTGCAGAAGGGTGAGATCCTCAGATCCTAAAGGGACTGGATTCTAAACCCGAATCCCTGAAACCAGCAGGAGGTTTTCTGATTGAAAACCTCACAAATGTTTGGTCATCCCACTGATAAATTATAGAGCTATTAGCTGGATTTACATTTTTCCATCTGGAGCAGAAGGGTCCCTATCTCAATGTGAAATTTCTAAATCCTTGTGTGTTTATCAGTAGCGTCTCAAAAAGAAAAAATAACCATTTAGAAAATAAAACTAATGGGTGCTTTTTCACCTTTTACTAGGAAAAATATATACATTGCAAAATAGTAAATACTATGATAAATGTTTAAATTTTAATTAGAAAGGATTTTAAAGAAAAATATTGTAAGTTTCTTTCAGGGAATAGATAAGGAAAGAATGAAAAAAGGGAGACAATGCACTTGTAATCCTGTGGCTTTTTTTGTTCATTTCGAGATATTCCCTGATGAAGCCTTTTTCTAGAAATATAAATTATGTATTTTTTCCTTTTTGCCTTGTATTATTATAGAGGTTAAACTGGAAAGTTTTATAATGCAGTTACATTTTTGGGGATGAAAAAACATTAATCAACAGGCACAATAGTGTTGAGTGGTCTTTTTTATTAAAATGTTCAGTTGACTTCTTTCTCCCTCCCCCTACCAAAAAATTCTGATGATGGATATGAAGGATTCCCTTGTAATGTCCCAGATGCAACTCAAAGAACATTCAATACGTTGCTTCTGTCACTAAAAGAACATAAATAAGGTGCACAAGTAACTGTAGTGAAAATGTCAGCATGCTGGTTGAAGGCAAATATTTTCCCAGGCAAGCCTGGCTTTTTAGGACTGAAAACTCCTGCCCACCTTCTCCAGCTGAGTAACCCAGACAATACAAGCAGGAACTCTCCAGTGAATGAAGTGAGCAGGGTTTCATACAGAGTATTGAGCAGTCAAACCAACAAAGCTCTAAATGAATCGCTGACTGAAAGAAAACAAGGGGGGAGGGGGTGTTAGGGTGTTTGCTAAGAGAATGCAAATCTAGGATACAGGCAGGCATTTTCTGATATGTCATTAGAGATATTTTTATATAGATACTGTATTCAGAATGTGTGTATAAACATTAACTGTAGAATTTATGACATAACAGTTTGATGGTTTTGTTAAGATTTTGTTTGGAAATACATTGCAAAGACAATGTAAATGGCTGTCTTTCTATGACATCAGCTGAGAAAAATGAATTGTGCCACAAAGAATGTGATTTTTTTTTATACTAACTTTGTTTCTTATGGAAATCAGGTATTATAGAAAGATTCCCTTCCCTATCCCTCATTGGTTCTGCGTTGGTATGCACCCAGAGTGGATTGAGAAACATTACTTTGTAGATGTATTTTCAATAAAAATAGTTTTACATTACTTGGTTTTTGTGATTTAGAATTTCTTTTAAAGGCTCTGTAATAGAAGCTTTGCACAAACTCAGAGCCAACAAACTCGTAATACGGGATTTCAGAAATTCCAGGCCATTTTATACAGCAGGGCTTTGATATAGCACTTCAGAAACCTGCTTATAGTTTCATTTATCAAAAGTAAATAAATAAAGGGAGAGAGGGAGGGAGGAACATTACAAATTAAAAGAAAGGATGTTCATCTTACTTACGTTCATTAAGATTCAAGTACATAAATTCATGCTGATATCTGCAAAATACTAAAAAAATAAGTATTTACATTTTCTTTGATTTAGCTATTGCAAAGCTGGCAGTTCATTTTGAATGTATAATTAGGTGGTCCAAAACCCCCATTGACTGGAGAATTACAGCATCATACCATTACAGCCATCCTAGACAATCCACTGTTTTTCTCACAGCAGTGTTTGCAACGGTGTCAGGGTTCATTCAGCAGCAACTTCAGCTAGCAGTTATTATCAAATGGAAGCATATGTCTTGTCAGAAGGACTGGTACAATGTAAAGACATGAGCTGGATCACTTGCATCTGGAAAGTTGTGCTGGTTGAAGCAGATGGGAGGCAGCAGGGAGAAGTCCTGCCTTCCTGAACATACAGCAACAAACCACTGGACAATGACACCTATGAATTTGTCCGTGGTATTTTGAGTAAAAACAACAGTTAATTCAACCAGCTTTGTAAAAAAAAATCAGAGAAGACATGGTGTTCTAAAGTGCATGAGCATAACCTTTCCAGTTTTTTCTAGCTATCTACACATTCATTCATTCATTCAATCCAGGTAAGTATCTTTGTATTTCTAGAATTACTATCATGATGGGAAGAGCTAAAGAAAGAGGGTTAGTGTATCACTTGGAGATATTACTGGCACAGTGGCCTTGCTTACTCTTCTCTGTCCCCACGGAGAACAAAGATCTCTGGTACTGCATAATTTTTCAGCAGTGTTTTCATTTGGAAGTTGGGGTTCGAAACAGCCATGCCATTCTTAAGCAAGAATTTATGTCTGTGTCACAGTGTGTGGCCGGTATAAAGCAAAGTGATCATGCATGTGGAAAATCAGCTACTGGCACAGGAAAGTATTTCTGTCTTCCCTTCTGAAGGACTGAATTTGTACAAGTGACATTTGTGTTCCAACACAGGCACAGCTGATAAGAAATTTAGGGCATCTTTTTTTTCAACTAACCCTGTAACACGCCGTTGGTTTAATAAAGGTACAATGGAAATGGTAGAGAAGAGTGTATCTTGCTTCTGGTATGATCAACAGTGTGCTAGTTGTGCTAGTTGTGATCAACAGTGCATGATCAGCTTGCTTCTAGTGTGATCAAACATTTCCCAGAACAGGATAAAAAATCTGAGATGAACTGATAGATCACTCCCTGTTTGGGTTTCTGAGTCATCATCTTAAAGAGATTGGCTTACCCTGGAAGCATGGAGTAAGATGGAGAAAGACTCTTGAACAATGGAGAAAGACTTGCACACCTCCACACCAAACTGAAAGCCCAGACTTGCAACATCAATGAGGCATCAGGATTCCTTCTGATAACAAAGAGAGCTGTAGTCAGATGATATAATCCTGCATGGTGAGCCCTTTCCTTTCCCCTCGTCCTCCACCTGGCTCCTCAGATGTCTCTGAGATATCCAGAAGTATTTAAAATTCCAGAATCTTAGTACAGGAGCACTTGTGTCTCTAACCAAAGTTTTTCTTCAACATGCCTCATTACACAACTAGGGCTGCACAAATAATTGATTTTTCACTCCAGTGAGAGAACTGAAAAACTGGGGAGAACAATTCTTCCAGGGCATCATGAAACAGTTTTATTATTGCTAAAAAAAAAAAAAAAAGAACAGTCTCTTTCAGGTATAATGACATGTTTCATTCCCCACTTCCTTATATTAATGCTTTTTCTTTGCTCTTTACAATTTCCTTTCTCCAGACATTGCACATTTTTCTGCTTTTCATGATTGGTTAGATTTTTTTCTTCATTGTAATATTGTCTTTTTAAGTACTTTTAAAAACTGATATTTGATAAAAATTATAAAAACCCAACTATTTCCTGATATTTTTCCAATACTGTTACTATTACTCCTAAACCTGGGTTCATTTCCTGCATTGTGTTTTTTTTCAATGCCTTAAACAGTTTCCCATTTTCTACAGTGCCATATTCCTCTCTCCATCTATCCCACTTACTCTCTTGGCTTTACTCTTCATTTTTACAGCTTCTCCTTCAAGAATTCCGCTGCAGCAGGTCTTCATAAACCCAGATATAGGTCTCGGTAGTATTCTTGGTCTCCTTCATAAACCTAGAGATGACTCAGCCTTTCTGTCATTTGGTTCCTCACCAGTGAAATGGGGACAGCAGCATTGCCCTAGAACCAGGGTTGTTTCCAGAGAAATCAAGACTGTGGAGAGCCTGTGCAATGGAGCTGACACACACACCTAGGTCATGTCTCAGGCACCATCCAAACCCTGAGGATTTGCCCCTAGTGCATAGTACCTTTGTACTATTATCTCCTGAGCTGTAAATATTTAAGGTGTATTTAAGAATTTAGACTACCTTCTCTTCAAAACAAAACCTAAAATAATTTGTTCATCATAATTGTACATAAACCCAGACCAAATCCTGTAATGCTCACTGGCTCCTTTCCATGGCAGAACTCCCCTGAACAGCAATAGGGAGAAGGATAAAATAAAGATCTGACTTGGATTTCAGGAACAAGGAATAAACTACAGTGCAAATATATTCAGAATAAAATTAGTACTGATGGTAGATGGTGACTGTCCTTCAGTCTGAGCAGGTGTTACACAAACCTCTCTTCACAGATCTGCTGGTTCGCCTTGCTCCTGACCTGCAGTTCCTCTCTTGTTTGAAGCCTGCTCTGCTCCCAGGCAGCAGCTCCTGGCCATGCCAAATTGCCCGGTGGTTTTGTGATATGCACAAATGGGGACTGGGATGAGACCACCCAACTTGCTTTCATTTACAGGC